GTGCCGGTATAATTTTCACCGCCTCTCTCAGGTGGTCGCTAAGGAATTTCAGAGATTTCGAGAAGACGTCCAACGCAGGCAAAGTCTTCCCGTTACTAGCCGCGAGGGGCATGTCCCTTCTGATTTCCTGTGGGAGGAAAAGCTTTTATTAAAATTGTAGACAAACAATATGAACATGCGTTCCAAAAATGACTTATGTACATGACTTCCAAAAATTTGTCTTCACTTTATTTGCATATCAATCAACAGGTTGTGTATATAAACCTACTTTCCCCTCTGGTCTCTCAGTCACTGACGAAAGCTAGTGGATTCTAGCTGAAACGTCTGACGTTTTCAAAATCATATTCAGTTGCTTGAGTAACTGTTTTTTGGCATATCGTATTACCTGGATGTCTAACCTTCATCGACGTAATATGTACATGCGTTACCTAACGGACATGATACACAGTAATGTTTATGTTTATAACTAGTTACTTGTGGAATTTTTTACTCTCGACAGGTTATGCTGCTCAGTTTTTACATCTTAACAGATATAAGAGGCATCCTTACCGAGTGGTTAGAATGTAGTCTCATCTTAAAGTGTTCGAAAAAGTAGTATGACTTGTCTTCTCCATTTTCCGTCAGAGTTGCGTACTTCTCCACCGCCTCGAATCCAAATGCGATGAATTTTTTGTCAGGGCCAAAGAGAACAGTAGTGGGAGCTTTATACGATTGACATCCGAGGTTTTGCCCCCAATTCTTGTTGAGATAAATCGGGTCATCATTTTTTTCATTATCCTTAGAGTGCGGAAATGCGAACCCATATCCACTAAATGTTGTGCCAAAGTCGATTGCAGCGACCGTTTGTTGTGCATGATTGTGACATGTTCTGCCCACCTATCATGAGCCTTCTCCAGGAGGATGTGTGTGTGTGTTAGGCATATTTGAAACGGAAAAGGACCTCTCTGTCTGGAGTATTGTTCAGTATCAGGGTGAAAGGTACGAAGTTAGGAGGTACGAAGTTGTACGAAGTTTTACAAAGTTAGAAATAATTAGGCCTTACATTGTACAGAGGGCGAAGTACGTAGTTGTACGAAGTTATGAGGTAATCTAACTTCGTACGGTGGGCCTGGGGTAGCGTACGAAGTACGAAGTTGTACGAAGTTATGAGGTAATCTAACTTCGTACGGTGGGCCTGGGGTAGCGTACGAAGTACGAAGTTGTACGAAGTTATGAGGTAATCTAACTTCGTACGGTGGGCCTGGGGTAGCGTACGAAGTACGAAGTTGTACGAAGTTATGAGGTAATCTAACTTCGTACGGAGGGCCTGGGGTAGCGTACGAAGTTGTACGAAGTTATGACGCAATCTAAATCTGTACAAAGTTGTACGAAGATATAAAGTAGAAAAGATACCGATAAATATGTCCCCTAACATCATTCTTAAGAAATCATCCTTCAAGACAATACAACTTCTCAAGTTCAAATGTCTCAACTGATGTTTCTAGAACCCTAACGTATATAGAACCCTAATTCTTATCTTCTTACCTTCTTTCTACGTACGTCACCAACTGATCAATACGTCACTACCGCCAGGTGTTTCCGAATGCGTTCTTAGAACCTTGTTGTTTTCAAATCAATTTGTCTTTGCGGTGACCTTGAGATCATTAGTCACTATCTATCTATTATTAGTCTAGTTTATCATATTGCATTTCATACTTTGTTATCTACTAATCTTCTAGAAAAGGCAGTTGACAGAAATAGACAATCTTTTATCAGAAGAGATTTATTTTTTTGTTTAATGATTGTGGACAAAACTTGATGTATGTTACACTAAAGTAACGTCACATCTAACTTCGTACTTCGGACGTCCTCCTGGCCGCCTTGTACGAAGTTAGTTGATTGCTGGCGTCACTTAATGCTTACGTCATATCAAAATGAAATCAACTTTAACTTCGTATTTCGTACGCTACCCCAGGCCCCCCGTACGAAGTTAGCTAAAGCCTAGTTAGCCTAGTTAGCCTAGGCCGCGTCATGACCCCTTACGTCATAACTTCGTACAACTTCGTACTTCGTACCATAGACCCCCCCCCTCCTCAGTACGAAGTTAGCCTAGGCTGCATCATGATCCCTTACGTCATAACTTCGTATAACTCCGTACTTAGTACGCTACCCCAGGCCCCCCGTACGAAGTTAGATAAGGCCTAGTTAGCCTAGGTTGCGTCATGATCCCTTACGTCATAACTTCGTACAACTTCGTACTTCGTACCATAGACCCCGCCCTCAGTACGAAGTTAGCCTAGGCCGCGTCATGATCCCTTACGTCATAACTTCGTACAACTTCGTACTTTGCCCGGTATTGTACGAAGTTAGCTTACTGAATTTAACTTCGTACCTTTCACCCTGATACTGGACATGTATGTCTGTCTGGAATGTGATCTTATACAAGTGGACGGTAAGATTAGAAATGTCTTAGATGAGTGCTACTACATACATTTACGGACAAACCAAAGGTAGCTTAAAAAGTAATATTTGAACACGCGGAAATACTATCCGATCCGACGCGCTGGGAGGCGATGCTACGCTGTGCTGCAGACGGCTCCTGCAGTTCCGACTCAACCTGCTGGGAGGCGCTACTGTACTTGGCGAAGATACGGGTGCGCTCCTGCGAAGTATGTTTTTCCTTTCCTGATGTCCTGTCTAAAAAATATCCATGAAAATGAACCTCATTACATATTCATGCCCAACTTTTGCCAAGTATCTTTGATGCATGTATGTAATGAATACATTTGCACTTAATATTGTCAGTGATCACTTTTTCTCAGAAATTCAGTTATCATTCAATTGTAAGTCGATTAAAATGCCTGTAGATTTATCGTTTAAAAAGCGTTGCCGACTGAATTCACCGTTAGACGTTGTCGGCCCTGCTGAATTTACTGTTAACCGTTGCCACGACCGACAAGGTTCCTACATTTTAGAATTTCGACATCATGAACCTGCCAAACAGGAAATGATACCTAACTTTACTGTGAACTATTAAAACATCAATTTGTTGCTGAAACAACTTTGAAAAACAAAAGTTGTCAATCATTGTACAGATGGGTTTGATTCATTGGGAACATATAAAAAGGATGAAACATCACTGCATCAAAGTAAAAGTCAAAACAATAAATCAGAGCCTTGTCTTGTCTCCTCTCTTCATGTTTGTCTGCCATCCATGTTTCGGCATACCAATGCATGCCATTTAGCCTATTTTCGGCATGTTGACCACTGTCAGAGGGTAACCATTTTTTTCCGAAAAGTAGGCGAAAATCGATGCGCGCTGATGTCGACATTCATAAAATTATTTGCTGTGGCCTCATACAGTATTTACAAGTCAAAGATGGGAACTTACAGGACTCAAAAACTCAAATTACCATCATGAATGTTGAGCAAAACCTCTCTCATAGGTCAAACTCTTTCCCACCAGACTTTGTCTTGTCTAATTTGTCATGTATACCGCTCTACTCTACTTGGCTTCAGGGGCTCAAACATAGTTAACCTTTGAGTATCCATTCTGGTACTCTTTTCTTGTGTTATCTACATGTACATGAATGATGAAGAGACATGGAACCATTAGAAAAATGCTAGAAAAGAGTACCAATGACCAATGTATTGATGTGCAAAACACCGAAAATGAATTCGAAGACATTTTTTGTGTTGGAAATTACAGTTCATAAACCTGTCCTAGAGTGACTTCTAAAACATCTACCAACACAAATGATCTTTTAAGCTAGTGGTAGTACTAAAACATTGAGTGCTCAGGCCATAGCGCTAGGTGCGTTAGGTGCTTTATTTCCTCCATGAGTAAACATGCACGCATGTAGCTAGTCTTCCTAGATCATACAAACTACATCAAAATTGAAACATTATTTACATAACATAAATATAAATTTACATTCTAAAACTTAACACCACATGTGCCTTATCCACTTGACTACATCGCCATACCTATCAGCTATCTATATTATGTGTCCCTATATCAACTCCTGGCTGAAATTTCTCTTAGTTGCTGTCCGTACCTCGTGTGGTATGCTATAGCCTCTACCAGGCTTGAGGGCGCGGCTGGAAATAGTAGAAATTGGCCAAATAGAGAGATAACACGCCGAGGGAGTTTAGCCATCAAGTTTACAGTTTGCCGCCACCCCTCCCCCCCCCCCCACACACACCCACACGCGCGCTACAAAAAACAAACGTCC